GTGTGTGTGTGTGTGTTTGGCAGGAAATGTCAGAGAGGGAGGCTTACCATCTATTTTTCAGTACTGTTGAACCTCCTGCTCGTCATGGGAGGCTGTACCTGGGCTTCCTTAAGATTAACTCTGTCAAGATCAATATCATTGTTTTCTGTAAAACAAACTCAGCCTGTTAATAGAAACTGTGTAGCATGGGCACTGGTAAACGAGTAGGGATAACAAAAAAGAAAAAGACGCAAAAAAAGAACAATGTCTAACACAAACAACCACTTGTGAATTTGTACTTTTAAAGCTATTTGTTACATGTTTCTTCTGGTTTTCTTAAAGAAATAGTTCATCCTTTTGGGAAATTTTGGCAAAATTGATACCACTCTAATGTCTGTATGCTAAATAAGAAGCTACAGTTAGCAGTGGGTTTGTTTAGCTTAGAATAAAGACTGCAAACAGGGAAAATAGCCTAACTCTATTGAAAGGTAGCAAAATCCACCTACCAGCACTTAAGTTAACTATTTAACTAACTTCCTAGAGTCCCTGCTGGTTCAGTCGCCAAAAAAATAATCTGGCACATAACCTCCATTAAAAGATGATTTGTAGTTTTTAAACTTTTAAACAAACACAATATGACATGTTAATTAGGGGCTTATAGGCATGCAGGTTTGTTACCTACGGGCAGAGTCAGGCAAACTGCTTTCTCTTGTTTCCAGTCCTCATGCTAAATTTTGCTAATCCTCCTCTGACTGTAGCTACATATTTACATATCGGAGAGTGGTATTAATCATCTCGCCCAACCCTCTGCAAGAAAGCGAATAAGCGTATTCCCCAAGATGTCAAACCAATTCTTCAAAGACTGAGTGCTGCTTTTGGGAAAGAGGCAGTTTGAGGATGAAGTGGAAGTGACTTTGGCAGCCCCTGTGAGCGCTCTGGACCCTTACCGAGCAGCCAAAAGGCATTTGGAAAGTGCTTTACCCAAGCAAGGGTAAGTCAGGCAGTAGAGAGGGCAGCTGATCCCCTGTGGCATTCTCCCTTCATTTCTCCTCAAGAACTGGGTCGCACAAGATGATGGGTGCCTTCCCAGACTTTCAGCAAGTGTTTTTATGGTCACCATAAATCATTCATTGGTCTTGCTCTGCTCTAGAGGCATTTGTGTCTCTGACACAGGGAAATCCTTGTTGACAAACCATTTCCCACATCTCAAACATCAAATTTGATTATTCAAGACTCCACTGGGTTATTCTTACCTTGCTCTGTGGAGAAGACAAACACATCTTAGAGAGCACAGTCTGATATGGATTAAATTATGTCTCCACTCAGATACATTTTCCTTTTTGTGGTCTCAGTTGTATTGACCATTCGATCAGAAGAGACACAAATGCACCTTCCTCTTTGCCACAGTCTGGTGAAATAGGAGATTCACAACCCTGGCATCTCTTTCAAATGTATCAGCAGGTCATGGCCCCATAAATGTTATTTGGAAAACTCATGGGAGTGACCACATCAGACAATATGGCTCCCAGAGGCACCCTGGGTGCTTATTAAAGGCATGACAGAAAATGAAAAACAGCACAGAGGAAGAGGCTCTGTCTAGATAACCAGGTGTGATCATGAAGGACTGTGTTCCCTTAATTACTCTGGGTGAAGAGGAGAGAGTAATGAGTGCTTGCTGAAGGGCTTTTCCTACCAGAATATGAAAAACTTGTCCCTGTTTAGATAGAGAAGAAGTCTCTCTCTTTCTCTTTCTCTCTCACTTCTTCTATTACATGACAGCTGAACTGCAGTAACCTATAATTCTCTGCCACTTAAACCAACCTTTTCTGACAATTAGATGGTATTGCGTGCACAGTTATTGGCTTGTGACTGGAGACTGGCATGTCAACATTAGCATATTGTGCTGAGGAGTCATTCCAGAGCTGCAATGTGTTTCTTGAATGCCATGCCTTTGTAAATTTTGTTTTCATCGGGTAGCTAACAGTATTATCCTAATAGTCAAATCTCCCCTGAGTGACAAGTTGTGGTTACCTCCCAACAAACCATTGTACAAACACATTGGTAAAAGGGCAAACTAAATGAAAAATAATACTGTTTTTATGTGCAGTGCAGGATATTGCTGTGCTATGTGGAACATTTCTTGTCATATCATTAGAATCTCACTGGTTATGTGGGTGAGCTAGCAGGTGTTTCCTGTTACTGTTCCCTTAACATGCAGAGGCAGCTTGGTGGTTTGTAGTTTTCATCAATCTGGAGCTCTGGTACAGTAACTTCTATCACATCAAAGAATAACTGATGAGTACTTCATCACACAGCAATCTGATGCATCAGCACAATGAGCTGAATATGCGTTTGCTAAAGACTGATTCAGATTCTAAAATATGTATTTCTTCATCTATTATGAGACAGTTGACTTAGTTTAGTAAGAGAAACCCCAAAAACAACAATTTAAATGGAAAACGTAATTTTACTTGTAATATACCGGTGATTACCGTAAGGGTTTGAATGCAAAACAGTTGTACATGGAGTTCCTCATTTTAGTGTAGCCTTTTCCATCGTTTATATCACTGTCTGATGTTGCCTCCTGAATTGTCTGTGTATGAGCCAGGCACATCAATGTGCATGCACCACTGGATAAATCCCATTTGTATCCTATATTTGGAGTTCACCAGAAACATTCATTCTTTTTTTCCCTTAATGTACAGACCAGACCATCAGCTCAGCCAAACTCCTTATGGGTTGCTGAAAGATAAATTATTCATCTGGGCTAAGTTGGTCTGGTTTGCTTGTGCAGGCACATGTCTTGTTGCCCACCTTGGATCAATGACAACAGCCGGGAAAAACCATCTGAGACTGATGACGACCATGTAATTGCAGGTTGTAGGTTGGCTACCACTTCAAGTCCCACGTGTAGCTCCATCAGCCCTATACCACAGTACTAATGGTGGAAGACTCCTCTGACTTGCCCTGTTTGCTGGGCAATGACTTGAGATACTCCAGGTGTCTGCGGGCATCCTCCTGATTAGCCCTAACATAGTAGACCAGGTAGGAGATGACCATGGTGAACCAGCCGAACATGACAACCAGCATGGCCACATCTGTAGTCCTCTTCATCACCACACATAGGTCTATGTCCGGTGCCAACAGGAAGGCAAGTCCTTGAACGCCTATCTCCTCAGGCTCTGAAGTCTGGCACACAATGCCTGTCAGCGATGCAGGCTCTAGGTCCACGCGGGGCATGGCCATCTGCAAGCTGCAATCGCAATGCCATGGATTGTTTGTTAGGTTGGCGCGAGCCCGTAGTCCCTCGAAGGCCTCAGGGTTAAACTTTGCTAACTTGTTCGAAGAAAGGTCTAGGAACTGTAGTGAGGAGCCCAGGCCTTTGAATGCTCCTGGTTCTAACTGACTCAGTTCATTATGTGATAGATCCAGTTCAACTAGGTGGGGCAAACCCGCAAAAGCATTGGTTGGGATTGTAGTGAAAAGGTTGAAGTCCAGGTAGACACGTCGTGTGTCATTGGGGATATCCTGGGGGATCTCTGTAAGCTGCAGATTGCTGCAGCGCACCGTCTTGCCGCCGCTCTCACTCTCAGAGCAGTAGCAGCTCTTAGAGCAACTGGTGGCAGCATGGTGGAAGCAGAAGGTCATTAGCACCAGGCTGTGCAACAGCAAACACATAACCACTGAGTGGCGCAGAAGCAAGTCCGCAAGTAGGGACATCGTGGGATACGGGCATGCTCCAGGAAGGACCACCTGGGTGCAGGACCTGAAATCCACATCAACCTCCCCAGTAGCTATTGAACCTATGACATAAAAACAACAGAAAGTCACATTAGCAGTGTTGAGAAGACTACCCTTTGAAAAAAGAGAAGTGCAGATAGTACTGTGAAATATTTTTCTCATGAGAAATGGGTGATTAACAATGTTCACAGTGTTATTTACTGCAGAAAAGAGGGGTACAGTAGCTTGTCTAATTGCAGTGAGAACACAGTGTGAATGCTGGATGCTCATTTCAGCATGTTGGTGGCCAGCACTTCTGCTGTGTTTCCAGGAAAGTCTAAGAATCAAACATTCCCTTCATACCAGCACAATAAACAAGCTCTGAAAATCCTTTGGTGTCACTGTGCCTCTTTTATAATTGACATCCCTGCGATGCAGGGCTATTTCAGTACACAGAGACTGCCATTAACATAGTGATGTGACACCATGAGGAACAAAATGTTCCAAACAAAACATAAAACCAACTAGATTTTTCATGTAATTATATATATCTATATCTATATATATATATTTCCAGCTATTTCTAAAACCATAGCTGCAATTCTGGTGCAACAATTTTAGTAAAAGTGACCCATAAAACTTCCCTTGCTTGGTGTTTGCAGTCGCTAGTACATAAGATCATTTACTCAGAAGTGCAAGTAACACAGAGGTAAAAGCTTGTCTGTAAATTACACTTTATATTTTGTATGTAAGCCTTTGAAAATGGCAGGTCTACCCACCCTAACACACTTCATTAATAGCTGATCAGGGCTACCTCCTATCTTGTTACTAATCCTCTTAAGGAAAAACTCCTTAAGTCAGTGTAGCATCAGTGTTGGCCACCGAATCCTTTTGCTGGGGTAAATGTTAATGCTATAAACAGCACCAAGGCCAACAAAACAGACAATGTGATAGCCTGTCCTTTTAGAGACAAAAAGGAACCACAGAGTTCAACCAGACTTCTTAATTTCTTCAAAATGGCTGGAGACTCGGCAAGATCCACTTACCAAGATTAAAAAATGAAATCGATCTCTAAGTACTTCTAAGTATCACATGACGTTGGGGGATAGAGAACAGAGTGTTGTGGCAATGGTGGTGTGTATGTGTGTGTGAGGGGGACAGATGATTTGTCTACGAGACACAGCTAATAACACTCATTGAGTTACACCAGTTTAAGAAAGGCCTGCCAGACAACCCAAATAATGAGCCATTGGGGGAGATGGAGGCTGATGCACCGGAGCAAAGCACGGATGAAGCCTCTGCTATTAAGAAGCTCTGACTGCTGGAGTTTGCCTCCCTCAGACATGAGATGTTTATCCAGACATCCTCATTGAGGCAAAGCAACTTCCAAAGGATTTCCCTCTGCACTTAGTGTCAGCAGGGTGTATGAGAACATAAAATAGCATGACAGATGCAGCTGAACACCCAAGGAAATAAAAAGTCTTGCCTAAACTAAATGGGTAACATTATGCTCCTGTAAAGGCTATACTTTTCCTGTCACATAGCATGCCAGCCTGGTATTTTGCTGAGAGATAATAGGGGAGCAGAAGTCAAAGGCTGGTGACGGAGGAGGAGAAAGCATGTGGGCAAGGAGGGAAATTGGACACACCGGCACAGGGTTGTGAGAGAAAGAATGATATAATGAGGATTTAAGGAGAAGGGTAGCATTACAATAACAACACAGAGATCAGTGTGTGACACTAATGAGATATTGAGGAAAGGGGGCAAATGTTAGTGAGTCAAAAGGACAGCTGATGAGGACAGCTGGCAGTGAAAGAATAAAAGGGAGAGGGGGGAGAGACTTGTCGCCTGTGGGTGAGATAAACAAGAGAGGGTGTAAACCTAATGAGTCGCAGGGTGGGGCACCAGTATAAAAAAGATTTTCATCCATTATGCTTCTCAAGGATATCATTTGCTAAAAAAAGACAAATTTTGCTTGTAACAACCCATCCCACAGCCACATACTGAAAATGCAATAAATCAACTGGCCTCTAAATCAGGTGAAGTCTTCGTCAGTGTTCCTAAAGTCATTGCCTACTTAAATAACTCTCCTGCTTTTAATTTACACAATAAATACAGCGCTTTTGCAACCAAAGGTCAGTCTTCCACTTCATAAATTCACTGCTGTCTCTGGGACCAATTATTTGAGGAGCAGCAATTTGGACTCAAACCCAAACAGGAGAGGCATTAAAATGCAATGCAAATTCATTATGTTAATATATTTAGTGACATAGTATTTTTTCATGCATGAATCTGACCCTCTTCCTCTTCTTTGCATCACATCACAGCTGCATGAATGGCAAATAAGCTGCTGGTTTCTAGTTATCAATGGGAGGAGGGAGGCAGAAAAAGGAAACAGGAAAATAAAGTATCCTTAACATCTTTAACTTGAAACAGAGGCTTTTAATCCAGCTGTAATCATATTTCAGTGCTTTTAGCTCTATCCACTCCTGATCCCTCACTCAATGCCAATCTCGATTACTACATATGCTCTTTTTATTCATTAGAGCACAACACTGCGCATGGCATATTTCCACTGTACCTTTCCCACTGTCTCCCCCAGTAGAATAATCTCGTTAAGGACCTAGAGAGCAATATCCGTAAACACACTGTTACAGAAGGGCAGTCAAACCTTTTGCTTGTCTATCGGCATTTAATGTACAGCCTGTTAGAGAAGGGTTTGATCTCATAGCCACTGTAGCATCAGTTTAAAAATCACTCCAAGAATTAACTACAATATTCATATCCTCAACACAAACTTCAATATTAAAGCAACACTGATCTCATTACTCTAATTCCCATTAATTACAACACAGGCGGAGGACATTTAAGATGCAAAATTAAAGCCTAACAGTGGGGTAAGTATCAGTTTCTGCTCAAATTTAAATTCTACTCCTAAGCATCTGCAGAAAATGAACTAACGTTAAAAGAACAGGAGATAAAGGCGATGCCTTGAGGGAACCCATACCCTTATTAAGTTTCTCTTTCATCCTGTTTTAGTCACCACCATCCAGTGCTTGTTCCCAGCGTTAATCACATTAAAAAAAAAACAGTTGCTCTTTTATGGATTAAAAATATGTCACACAAAAAAAACACGCGTTATGATCAGCAACACTCACGTCTTTGCCGCTTTCCCTCTCCTTTTCATGGTGTGTGTTTCTCAGCAAGTGCCCAACAATAACGCTGGTCCGGCAGATCACAGCGCTCCCGAAAAGGCTGTTCGATCAGTGTTTTGGTTCGCTTCCACCAGGTCCTCTTGCAGCTCGTTAAACTTGCGCTGAGAGCCGCTCCGGCTAACACGAAGCGCCACTGGTGGAAATGCTCCTACAGTTCAGGGCTCGCTCGGTGCAGCCTTTTTAGTTTCCACGCAACCAAAAAACTAGGCAACATCGCCGGAGCCAGCGCGAACTGACGAGGACGCAGCGAGAGGGCAACGCGGTTGCTGATGGCGGTACATCACCGACCCCGATCCAGGATGATATGACAAAAAATAATTATTATAATAATAAAGTTTAAAATGGCAGACAAATGGCGCACAGTGCATTTACGCACAGACTTAACGGCTGTATATTCGGCTGCTGGAAGGAGCTGAGTGCATGGAGGCCAATGTGTGATGGCGTGACTGATTACATTCATTCATATACATCTGTTGATTGCTGTGAGTGAAGTGGATTTGATGTGCATGCATCAGGTGCCAGTAAAGTAGGCAGTACCCCTCTCTCTCACACACACACAC